TATATATATATATATATATATATATATATATATATATATATATATTGAGAGGGATAGATGGGAAGTTGAGTACGAACAAACCTGATTTCTGGACAATCCTGTTTGTCGAGACAAAAGATGTTTATCAGCATCACTTGGATACCTGAGGATCATTTTCAGCACTGTTAATTTACGCATAAAACTTTCTTCCAATTCATTTTGTATTGATTATTACGTATATGTCTATATGCAATCGATAATTTCAAGTGAGAGAAGTGTTAAGTTGTATATATAGTTGCTTTTCAGTAAAGAAACAGTCAACTTTTGACTTAATGGTGTTTTAATAGGTAGTAGGTTTAAAAAGGCATCGGTCGACAATCACACTTATACACACACTCACCACTACTTTATATTTTAAGAAAGTAATAAAAGCTTTCAACAACACACACGCATCTTAATCTTTCTAATTTATGACCTCATCATTAGCATCCATTGCTAATAATTGTTGGATAACTGTAACGAGAGTTATAAAACAACTGAAAAGTAAAGTTTCCATGTCTAATCATATTCTTTTAACTGTAGTTTAATTATCTTTATAACATAAAGCAGAATGAAGAAAACTAGAAAAGACTTACGGGTGTAAAAAGTGCTCGAAAAGCCAAGCTCTTAAAATGTTGACAGATCGTTCAGGCAAACCTCTTTGAGGCCTCCATGCTTCTTGTTCCATCATCCCCATTTGATGAAATGCTCTTTGTTGTCTTAGGCTTTGTTCCAATAATTTAAGCCTTGGTGTTTCACCTTTTGTGACACCAGAAGAACCTGCGTCTTTTTCTCCTAATACTTCACAGCTGTATTTCAATTGAGCAGCTATGGCGTCTTTTAGACAACGAAAATGACGAGACATGGCTTTTTGAGCTAAAGCTGTGTATGGAACTGCTGCCCCAAACCCCATAACTAAATCAAATGAATTCACCACAATTTGCATCTGTTCACAATAGTGGTTGTATCTCCGATCTACCTGCATTTGATATAATAACGACAAATGTCAAAAAGCATGTCGTATTTGTTTATTAGGAAAGAATCTATATTGATGATAATGGAAACAAGATTTGTTGTGTTTCTTGATGTTGGATTTTTTTTATCTCTCAATACTTCCTATGATTAATTGTTTAGACTTTAGATTACGTTTATTGAATAAAATATTATGAAGTTGTTATTTATTATAATATAAAGAAATTTACTAATTTTACAATAATGGGTATGATTTAAAAAAAAAGAAAAAAAAAAGAAAAAGACAATGAGGTTATAATGATTTGAGAAGCTAGAACCCTAATTCTTTAATCATAGATGACGATTATAGTATGTATGGAGCCTGTCACGTTTTACCAAATCGAAATGAAATAGACTCATTATATTTATAACTGAACTTAAAAAATTAAGAAAAGTAATGATGTTAGCATATTCTGTCAGTGAAAACCTATTTTGTTTTGGCCGGCTTTTGTCGACATACTACCAGTAGTCGCCGGAATGTTGTGCCGGCCCCAGTTGATTTTCTGGAGAGAGAGAGAGAGAGAGAGAG